AAAAAAAAGAAGAAGAAGAAGGAGAATTTAGGTTTTTTTTTTTTTTTTTTTTTTCATGCAGGAAAAGTGACATAAAGAGGTGTTATTAAGTCCATGTAAGCATCTTTACATGGTGGAATATTTATGTCAAATATTCCTGTTAAGATAACATGTCATGTAAGTAAAAATTAATGAAGGGAGCAAAAAATAGTCGGATTTTAAACTTTAATGACTAAAAAAGAGATTTTTATAGTACAATGACCAAAAAGTAACTTTTTTTAATAGTAGAGAGACAAAAAAAAGGTATTTAACCATAAAATTATTACTAAATGCATCCTTACAATTTAGGGCCTGGCGGAATTTAGAAACACTCCTCACAGCCACCCCCGTAAGCTACAAATATCTGGACCTGATGTAATACCCAGAAGGCTGAACAATTTTATCGCTATTTTTATGGCCGAATTAACTTCATCATCTGCCTTTAGTTGTAAGTTAATTTCTTTTGTTTAAGACTATAGGATGTGTTGTGTCCCCAATTATGTAATTAATGCACACAACTCATCTACTTTCTAGTGTTTCTTGCACACACACATATATTACTAAATTTTTAATATTTGAAAGTTATATTAAATCTAATTAATTTAAAATGAAATTGAGTCAAACCTTATAAAATAAAGCTTTTTCAGTGTTTATTATTCATTAATAAAACACAAATTTAAAATTTTATTTATAAAAAGTCGAACTCTTATGGAAACCAATGTGTTATTAGTGTTTCTTGCAGATTATAAGAACACTACAAAATAGGTTTCAGGAAAGTTCTGTTGTTCCCACCAGTTATTCTAGAGAATATCATTTGTCCTGCTTATCCACAATATTGATCCCTTTTCCTCCATTGAATTTTCCTATACATGCTTATCTTCTTTTCATCACATATTCCCCAAAACAAATTCTTCTGTTCTTATTGAATGGATGTTGTTTTCTTTTAGCCCCCTTCATTGGGAAAAGGAAATGCAGATTCATGGTTCCTTGACCCAAACAGGAATGATTCAGCCAAAAAATTGACTCAAATCCCCCAAAATCTGACTTAAGAATCCCAGAAGAAACACAAAACTACCAGGCAGTCCTCCAAGTTGCAAGGAGGGGACAATAGAAGAATAAATTGCTTTAGGCATTTCAAAGTTAGTGATGGGGAGGGAAGACGGCAGTAATTGGTAGAGAATCACTTTATGCTGCAAATGACATCGATGATAAGGATTCCATACACTGGTGCCAGCTCGCCAGGGTGTACCTGTATGTCAAGATTATCATATATGCTACAACAGTTCACATTTCATGATAAGATGCAAGTAACTTTTTGAAAAGTTTCCAATCTTTCCAATGGTAGTCTTCAACAAATTAACAAGGAACAGGCACATTGCCATAAGGCAAGCTAAACATTGCCCTTGGTCTTTGGAAAGAATGATTGCCCCTGGAGACAAAAGTTAAAGGCTCAAGGAACACATTTCTCAATTTGCTTGACCCACCTAGGGTTTCTTAAAACCCTCAAACTCTCAAAATTGATTTGCAATCAAACAGGATTTTGCTGCATTTGGTATTTCCAACAAGACTCTTAAATGTTGACAGGAGGATGAATGGATGTGTTAATAGAATAAATGCTTAAGATCCACTAATAGCTTTAAATTTCTTTCTCAGGTATTGGTGATGGCAGAATCTGATGCAAAAATTGATTATGCAAAAGTTGATTAAATTCCTCCAAAAGCAGTTAGGAGACTTGAATGCGTAAGGTGAAGACAGACCCTAAAAGTTTCCTTTTTTCAGCAGGTGCATTAATGATTTAATGTATCAGAAACTGACTTCAAGTGTTCCTTTCTGGATTCAGGACCACTAAGAGAGATGCCTTTTGATGCTAAAATATCTTGATCAAACGATGATGACTTTTTCCCTGAAAATGAAGTTCCCTGGATTCCCCAACTCAACTTGCAATGCAGGAGCTACCATATACCCATCCCTGGGATAAAGGAAATTGGTCTTATAAAGATCTTGAAATAGAAAGAAAAACGGAATCCATAGATGAGTTCTTCAATATTGCAGTGGACGTGGAAGATAAGGATTCTAAATTCTAATCATCAACAAAGATTGGGACCTGAAATGGATATCCTTTGTAAATGTTCCTCAAATGAAGTAGGAAAGAAGGTTATGGTTAACCACATATTCAAAGCAAAGGATTACCACCATCATTCATTCCAAGCCATTGCCAAACCAAAACCATACCACCATCGTCCAGTCCAAGTTCTTACCGGACCAAGATCAGGCCACCACTGTCCACTCCAAGCCCTTGCTGGACCAAGGGTCTCCTGACACGAACCTACAAGGGGAACTTCTTTGGTGCCAACTGAAATGACTTGGGCCTAAGTTGAAGTTGTAAGTAGTAGTTAGTCTCTACATTTGTACTCTTCGAGATGTGAGATTGGGACATTAAAATTTCTCCCTCAACGTGTATTTCAAACTAGCTCACAATCACAGATCCACGTCAAGCAATGTGAGATTGCAGAGGCAAAAGCCCTGTCATGCCACCACCGTCCATTATATTCCAAGCTCTAGCCGAACCAAGCCAACACCATCACCGTCCATTCCAAGCCCCTTGCTGGACCAAGACCATACCACCATCGTCCACCGCAAGCCCTTGCCAGACCAAGATCGCTAGCACCGCCCGTGCCAAGCCCTTGTCGGACCAAGACCATGCCACCACCATCCACTCACAATTATACTCTTTTTCTGACGTTGGATGTGTGATTGGGACGTTATAATAATATCGAGAAGTTCGGTAAAAAGCTGATCTTAGTGCAATATTTGGATCATGACAAATGTAACTATGAAACCGAGAAACAGAGGTTATGGGGATGGAAATACCGTAGTAGACAAAACTGATCTTGGAGGAAGAAAAACCAAGTAATGGAGTTTCTTAAGGTTTAAGATTACTCGAAAACCCACAAAATTATCTGGAAAGGTAAAGTGTAAACTCAAAACCACGTTGGATTTTCAAAAGTACCCTGTTTTGTAAAGAAAAAGTTTAGTCCACCGGCTCTCGCGCATCCCATTTGCCCCAGGAAGTTCTCTTTTCCAATTTCCATGCTGCCACTTGATTAGTGACATGTATGTCGAGTCAATAATAGCACACTCAACTTCTCAGTATCCAGAACTTTAGCTTTCTCTTTGGAATGTTTTTCAGTTACTTTAATTTTTAGTTTTATATTTTTTATTATTTTAAAAATATATAAAAAATATATTTTCTTCAACACAATAGTGAGACTCAGATGTCACACATCTTATGTATATGAAAATACCCTTATCAAGACACGAGTGATCATTAAACCACCAAAGACTTTTCGTATAAAATATTAATTAAAATAAATATTAAATATATTATATATATTATTATAATGTTGACAGATTAAAAACCTACAACTGTAACTAGCAACGTTTCTAATCAACATCTTAATCTAGATCTAGTTTAAATGACCATAGTTACTATAAGTGAATCTAATATTTTTCATTTTTTAAGCATGAGAAAATTTTAAGAAATGAGAAACTTTTTCAAGTAAATAATAAGAGTATAACTCCCAATCACTTAAAATCAAGCTTACCTGGTGGTGAGCTACCAGACCCATGAGACTGGTTCAAGTTCAAGTGAATCCAATACTTGAATTAGACCTGAGATGCTATATTCCATGACTTTTGTCTGATACTATATAGTCTATATTCAATAATGATATTTTCAAAAAGAAAAAAAAATTATTTTCTCTTTCTTTCTCTTCTCTTTTCCTATATAAAGTGAAGAACTGGGACTCTTTTTGCTCATACCAACCTCTTGGCTGTACCTCCTCTGTTTTGCTCTTCTCTCTGCTTTTGTTATTATTTTTTACACTGTTTCCTACAATGGCATCGAGTTCGAGCTGGACCCCAAAGCAAAACAAGCTGTTTGAGAATGCTCTGGCCATCTACGACAAGGATACACCTGACCGCTGGATCAACTTAGCCAGGGCTGTCGGAGGGAAGTCTGTAGAGGAGGTGAAGAGGCATTATGATGTGCTTGTGGAAGACATCAATCAGATTGAGTCCGGCCAAGTCCCATTGCCTAATTACAAGAAAATGGGCACCGGCGGTGGTAACAAAGGATCCAACTACATGGTCGACGAAGATCAAAGGTATGCATATACTTTAAAAACTTAAGACTCGGTCCAATACCAACTCATCTTTAATCTTCTTTAAACACTAAAGACTTGATTTAAAGTCAATTCGACTAAACTCTTGTTTTCCTGTGTAGTACATGAAAAATGCAAAAGCTCTGATACTTATATCTGTTTTTCAGGCTAAAGAATCTCAGGCTCCATTGAAGATTTAAAGCAAATGCAAGATTATTGATAAATAATGTATTATTATTACTATTAACTTTGTTTCCCATTTCCATCAATTGTAATATCATGAATTCTGTTGATGATAATAAATGGTCTTGTTCTTAGTAGTGTTGTAATATGGCTTCTTGTGCATGAATTCTGTTGTATCTCATGGTGTTTGCCTGAAAGAGGCAGACATTGTAATGCATTCAGAACTTGAAGAAATTAAAATTTAAGAAAGTTTTAAATCAAGAATCATCTCTTTTTTATGAAGGTTTTTGAGCCGTCCAATGTGGAAAACAAGATGAAGATCTATCTTTTCAAAGAGTGTTGTTTCAATGCATGAAAATCTGCCAAGTCAGAAGACAAATATGATTAAAGATGTCCCAACCGCCAAATGATTAATTAACCAAAGGAACTATTACTCCAATTAAACTAACTCTTGGAAGCATGTGTTCCTTAAGTTAATAGACTAGTAATTTCTGATAATTTTTTTTTTATAATTTCAATAAACAAACACTTGCCCTTTTTTAGTCAAATTTCTAATTTCAATAAAAGAACACTTTTACCTTTTGTTTTAGTCGAACAATTTTGCTTTAACGGACTAGAGAAGTGGACTTAATTTGCTGCTCAGCATATGCTGGCGTAACTAGTACTAGATAGGGTGGGACAATACTAGAAAGAAAGGAATAGATTAAGAGATAACGTTTGATGTGTGTGTGAACGCTTTATATTGAAGTTAAACAAGAAAAGAGGATTGATGGGAATAATTCTGTTGTTTGGAGGATCAAAATGAGGACTTTTTTGATGTTTTAAAAGCCACGAGATCATGATCCTGGACATTGCTAGTGCAGCAGACAAAAAGAATGCAGCATCAATCAATCCCGAAAGAACTTATTTTTGTGCTAAAAGCGAAAATATGATAAAAAAAAGTTGGCCATTCAAAAATGGAGATATGTTGCAGACTAATAGACTTTTAAGAGTATCTTTGAAGTCTTAAAAGCTGTTTTCAGCATTTTTTTTTAAATTTCGGTTGGATAATGAGAAATAATTATCTTACATCTTTTATCCTATTCTACCTGTGTGTTATGTGAGTCAAACTCAAAACTTTTTAATTTCAGTGAAAGAAGATGATCCCTAAACTATTTAGGTTCTTGATTAAGTGAAAAATCAAAATATTAAATTAAAAATTTTAAGTTCAAACTTCCAAATCAATGAGTGGGGAATTTGTCCATAGGAAAAGTTATTCTATATTATGTATTAGATGTACTAAAAATATATTATCTCTATATATTTGTTTTGGGATTTTATATTTTGCTCTCTTTTTTTATGAATATATTTTGCTTTTAAATTAAAGTAAAAAAGAAGTGTTTGGTTTTGTTTCTTCTAATATATTCAGTTTCTATGGAAAAAGGAAATATAATAACGAGGAATTAACAAAACAAAAAATTTTTAATGATAAATCTTGCAAAAGAGCAAGCATTAAACATGCATTGTATTTTGTATTGCATTTTACTTTTACTTTTTATTACTTTATTAGAAAATTAAAAACAAAAATACTTTACTTTTTCTTTTTCGCCGAACAAAAGTGTAATTACCACCTTCTAATTTTAGAATTAAAATAATTATTCATAAAAATATTTTATACAACCTGAACTGTAATTCCATCTCTTATTTTATTATTTTAATAATGAACTACAAACCAGAAACTCAATTGTATACAGCCAAACACTGCCTAATGGTTCAATACTTCAATTTATGTGTGGTGGGTTTAACCCGAAACCGGAATGACCCATTAGGGTCCGGGACAACAATCCGCATTCTCTTCACACAATCACTCCTTCAGTTCAGGCCCTCTGTTCCTATTCTCCAGTTCCAGTCGCCTGGGAATCAGATAAAAATGGAAGACAACTCTTCTCCTCCATTTAAGGTGAGCAGACCCATTACTCCAACTATTCTGGCAACAACTGTTACTTTTTACTCTTTAATTTTTTGGTTGTTCAAATTCATGTTAGGAATTGAAAAAAAGAAAAGATTTTTATGAATCATATGCCTCCCAGAATTTTGGAAACTTCTTCACTTCAAATCTTTCACTTTAATTGTTTTCAAAATGTAAAGTTTTGAGCTTGCAATCAAACAGTTTGTGGGGCATAAAGTTTTTGTCTTTGACTATATGCTATAATGCAGATAATATTGGGATCTTCTTCCTTTGCTCGTCGGAAAATATTGGCTGAAATGGGATATGAGTTCACAATCATGGTAATTTTGATTCTGTCTTTGAAATGGGTCTTGTTAATTTTATGTTTAATGAGCTCTAAGTTGATTCTTTTTGGTAGACTGCTGGCATTGATGAGAAAGCTATAAGGAAGGAGAAGCCAGAAGAGCTGGTTGTGGCTTTAGCTGAGGCAAAGGTGCTGTCTTCACTAGAACTTTGAAATTACTAGTAATACAGTTTGATGTTTTTTTACTTTGCTTTGGGTTCATTTTAGGCTCTATTATTAGATTTTAGCATTCATGTTATATTTTCCTCCATTGCTTTAAGCAGCCATGTGGGGTTCCGTCCTTGTGGGTGTGTGTGTGTTTTCATTGTCTTATTTTTTGTATTCTGATGTAATTTTTAAGTTGGAGGAGGAATATTCCATATTTACTTTCATTAATTTGAGTCTGAAACACATCACAGGCTGATGCTATCATCTCAAAACTACAAAATTATCCAATAATCAAGAAAAGGATGAGAAGCCAATAATTTTTATTGCAGCTGACACAGTATGCCATTTGTTTTAGTTGCTGATTATGCTCCCAATTTAGAACAATCAAGTACACAAGAGCTTGTTTCAACAAGTGGCATCTACGTTTAGAGGATACATTATTGTCTGAAATGATATATTTCAGTACCACCGCCACATAGGCGAGTTGCTGATGCTACTTGGGCTGCAAATGTAGCAGTACTATGCATTTTCTCTTGCTACTGAATGCCAATAGGCCGTCTTGAAATTTTTTTTTTTCTTTTGGTAACAGCAGAGAAGTCACAAAGATTGTCCTGCCATTAGAATAAAATTTTTAAACCTGTAATATAATTCCTTTTTATGTTGCTTTTGTTCTTAGTTTTGTATTTGCTGTTTCTGTAGTTCTACTACAAAGTTATGTTCTCAGTAAATACTTACCTTGTCTACTGAAACTTCTCAGGCAGAAGCCATCTTACAAAGGCTCCCTCTTGGTGACTATGTATCAGAAGCCGAGCCAACATTGTTAATTACTGCTGACCAAGTATTAATTGGTTCCCTTGATATTCTTTCAATTCCTAGTTAATTTGTTTATTTTAGCTTTGCATTTAATGTGTCAAACTTGCATCAAATGGTCTGTCACCTGCCGTTTATTATATAGTTCATCTGGCCAACTTACTCCTTAATATCTCACCCAAAATAAAATAGACAAAACAAAGAGGGTTGGCGGTTTGGGATTCATTAGGCCAAGCTGCCTACTCCTTACCTGAGGGAGGAGAAATTATACATCTGTTGGGATGCTCAAACGCCTGGAGTAAAGGGAAACCCACCCTTCGTTTTTTAGGCCTCAATGTAAATGTGTTGTTTGTCAAGAAAAACATATGGTCATTCTCATTCTACCGGACTACTATTTAGGTGCATGGATGAATCCTAAGTC